ATGGACGAGAAGATGGTACTCTTTTACATACTATCTATGATTAACTTCTTCCTCGGTATTGGCGTCTAAGCCGGTACCGTTGCAGCATTCAACTTGTTGAATGCGTGCACTATCCGCCATCCTCCTGTGGCATTTCGCACACATAAGGTCTGAGGGCTGTGAGGGGAAGTTGGATCCCTCACATGGCCCGCTGCAAATCGGTCGGCAAAGAGCTTGTCGATTGCTAGTACTTGTTCACGAGGTAGTGGCCACTGCTTCATGACACAATACTTTGAGCCCGGTTGTAGATCGATCTCGTGTCGATTGCCTTTATCCTTAGGCAATTTTCATGGTACTGATTCAGGGAATACATCCCTGAATCAGATCGGATCCTTATACAAAAGATTTACCTGAAGCGACTCGCAGGATTGAGACGTGTATCGTTCAATTTGAGTCTTATCATCAAGGAAACTTTCGTCCATCGATTAGCGTCTTGAAACCCGTTCGTTCTCAGCAAATACTGTTGCCGACCGAATATCGGTCACATATTCATCCTCTGTGATGATTATGTAGATCTGCTTGACTTATCCAGTACGCAGATCACATAGGAACCGTTTTGGTTCCAGTGTTGGCAATTGATTTATCTCCGAAATTAACTTTGGAGGCACAATCAGATTAAGCGTATAAAGGCCTACCCTTGACGCGTCATTGACCAAGACGTCTAATGTATCGATTTTTTTCCTGAGAACTTGTTTCCACAGGTTGCTGAGAGCCTAATCTTTCATCAAGTAACTCTTGAGTAATTCCTTCCTCAAGTACGTGGGGAATTATTCCCTCTAGGTGTTATGACTGTGGCTGAGCAACCACAGTCAGGTACCGATCCTCTACGGTCGATTCCCCCGCCGACCTAAGATATCCGTGTTGTCGTTTCTGGACAACCGGTTAGTTCTTCCTAGAATTTCCACCGCTTGGAATGCATCCATGTCCCGGCCCACTCGACTTATTCGAGCGGTGGACCTTCGACATTGCCTGTACTTCTGCACATCCTCCAAGAGCACTCTACACAGTGCAGTGATATGCTACACTGAGGTCTTGTGCAGTCGTGCTAACGACCGTACCGCAAGTGAGACCATCGCACTCACTCGCAGTACATCCACACGCTTGTGGAGGCTCCAAGACGTTCATCAGATGGCCATCTGATGAACAAGCGGCAGGCGTCTTCGCGGATCGATGCTGCCAGCTCACTCTTGGCTCGTACCTTCTGATACAAGGTAATCCCAGGATGACATCAAATATGTCATCCAGATCCAGTAACAAGGAAGTGGTCATCGTACTGTTTACCCTCTAACTTGTAGTGGGTTCCTACTACACGTTTGTTAACGGTTATCGATGCGCCTGTGACAAGGCGCACCGTTGTCCTCGTTAGAGGGATGTCACGCTCAACGAACTTGAGCCTACGACTCTCTAATGACTGGCGACAAAAAAGTTGTTCGACGCCCCACAGTCAATCACAGCACGAAGTGACTTTTTTTTGTTACTTCCGACTTCTAAGGTGATCAGTGGTATCTCATCACCAGGTGCAGAGACAAACAATGAGTGTGTGTCTGAAGAAACTTTCGTGAAGAGATTTGCAAATTTCTTTGAGGTTGCTGGATCAGTTTGGTGCTCCGCCCCTACTGACCCCGACCACTTTTGATGGTCCGCTTCGCTGTTGCGGGTTAGTAACAGTGTTGGCCTACGCCCACTGCCCTTCTTGACGAATGGTCGATCATTTCGCTCGGTACTGTTTGTTACTTGGAGTGGGACACTACAATCGTAAGCGTAGTTTCCTAACTTCTGACAGCGATTGCATTTCTACAATCGCTTGTTGTTTGAATAGCGAGGTCTCTCGTTCTCGACATAACAGAGGTCCATGGATTCTGGACCTCCAGTCTCTTGTCGTCTCGGTGGACGATAAGAGCTCAATCCAGCATGAGCCTGTCTCATGATAAAGTCTTCATGTTCCGCAGCTGTGATTGCTTGTTTAAGCGTATCCAACTCTGAACGGAACAGGTGGTTCCTGACGGGTCCTTCCGCGAGGCATTGCATGCACACAGTTATCAATGTGTGTTTATATATGGGTAGGTAGTTACACTACTCGCGAGGAGTCATATACGTTGAGCGTAAGCGCGTACATCACGCTTACCCTGCTTGAGTTTCAGGAGCTCTGATGGAGCTCTGAACTCAGCCCGTAGCGGTTCAAAAGTCTGTTTGAGCCGGGTCTTAGACGGTTTCAGAGGCTCAAACGTATACGGGTTGCTCGTCTCCAGCCCTAAAGCCCAAGTCTTGGCACGTCATGACCATTGGGTTTGAGCAAATATGAGTATCATTTGCTCATCGTCGACACGACTTGCCTTCATGTCTCTGTCGAGCTCGACGAACTATAATAACAGGTAGTTTCCCTCGACTCCTCTGTACTTGAAGATATCAAACTTCAAGATTTTGGGACGACGCGTGTGTGTCGCCCCTCCCACAGCAGCATAAAGTTGCTGCTGTCTCAACAGCTCTGTCTGTTAAGAACCGACTTCTCTCAACTACTCTTCCTGTTGAGAGCCTTACTTGTGAAGCAAGGCTACTTTCTATCTTTCGGCGACAAGTTCATTCTGAATGAACCTGGCCATAGCGGCATGTTGTTGGTCTCTGTCAAGAGACTCCAACATGGCGCAAATGGCGGTTTCGCCTACGGTACAACTCATACTTCCCACCTCACTCCATTTGATGTTAACAGAGCTAGGAAGCTCGGTTAAGGAAAAAAGCAGAACTGTATTTAATATCGGTACATTTCCCAACCAACCATCTTTTCTTGATCTAACTATAGTAAACTACAAGCTCCTATGTGGGACTCTTGATCGCCATCCATTGCGCGCGTCCAGCAGCGATTGGTGGATAATTTAGTTGGTGAAGCGTCTACATCAACCAATTAGTGGATTACGCAAGAATGTCACCTTCGGGGGTAATATATCGCCAAAACCAAATCTTCTCGAGTAATGTCGATTGAATATTATCGAAATGAATAATATTCAAAAAGTGATACATTCGTATCAATTTTATGTGACGGGTTGACCCCCTTACATCGACCAATATGTCTTCATTTGATGATTCAGAGACAGCGTGTGTTCAAATATTGTGAAAATAATGCTCGTTGAAATGTTTGTGGCAGGACCCGAAGCAGCATGATAGAGGGGTTTGACGAGCAATATGATTAGAGACGTGATTGGGAAGGGGTAGTAGAACTACGTTGGTGCTATTGCCGGTGGTCACGAAGATGATAGTGTACATAAATGTAGCACATTCACGAAAGACACAATGCTGATGGAATAGTATGTCATCACAAAGAAACACTATTGATAGTGGTATAGGTTTCGCAGTCCACTCTGATATTGTGTATATTTTCGATTGTGCTCAAGTAATATACTTACTTTTTGTATGCAATGAAGGACACGATGCATCTAAGTGTAGCAACCCGATCCTCTTGGCCCACCTCAAACAAGAGATAGGCATACGGAAACACGTAAACTTAAGTATAGATTTAACGAAGAACGCTTGTCTGGCATAAACCATTGAGAATTGCATTGTAGATTGTAATAAAAAATCTGTTAAAGGTTTAGCATGTCATCGACTTTCACATTGTACAATTTTGTGATAAATGTTGATAAAAGATTGACCTGAACTTTGAAAACTTGAAATTACTGTATTTTATGAGATTCTAGAACACTTTACAGGTGCTATTTAAAATTCTATGATGGAATCTCTCGCAAGTACCCCGTTATGTGCATAACTGGATTCGCTAATACTTTATTTTTATTTCTTCGCTTTTTAATTTGTTCCTTATTTTTTTTATTAGTGTTTTTTTAGAAACTGTCATGTAACAGCTGGTTATCATTTAATATGATTTTTTTGTAATGCATAATTTCAGGCTTTGCCTTTTCACGGAATAAAAACAGACTTATTTGATGCATTATGACATCTAATTTATTTGTGCCTTGGATGTTTGAAGCATAATTACTTATCTCATGCTGATTAATTTTTCGCTATTATTTGTTGTGCATTTTGCGCTTTGTTTATTTTAAGGAGATTTATAGGATTAGGAGAAAAGGGCGGCGTTAACGCACTGCATAGGCAATAACCATTTTTGACCTCAACGCCCGATACGAACTCAAACCCTGACGTTCCTAGGTGTTGATCAACTTATGTAAGCTCAAATGTATACCTATAACTTCCACAGCGCGTCGCCTCAACGGTTAAATTGGCTTGCGACAGCAACCTGCTTTGCATACCACTTGTATACCACCTTCTAATCTGGTGCGGGTGACATTTGAGACACAATGGCGCGGTACACACCGAGAAACGCTGTGGATGGGCACTATTGCAGAAATGACAATTTCTGTGGGCAATCATTAGCGTCTACGAACGCACGAGAAGAATGAGAATGTCTGTTGACTAAACATCTGTACATCTACGATTTGGATAAAAATATAGGACGATTCGGATAATCGCCTGACGCTGGTCCACCCTTGAGACGAGATTACCTACCCCGATTGCCTTTCCTATGACGACACCCGGTGACCTTTTGCGCACACGCGTAGCGACTTCACGACGTCAAAGTTGAGCCAAGAAAAAGGACGTCGTGAAGGAAAGGTGTCAATTAATGTTGGAGATGGTCATCGTCAAAGTTACTGTCCAGGACAATCGCCTGCTATTAGTGCTGAAGGTAATAGAATGCAGTCGACCAGCACAGACGAAGTGCAGCAAATTGTTCAACGTTCTTCGGCACAGTGACGGCGACAGGTCCATCATCGCCAGGTCGTTACAAACCCACAACCAGACCGTCAGAAAGCAACGTCCTTCCATTGACCCTGACAGTAGCAACTCGACAATCAGCGCAACCTCAGGACACGGTGTGCTGCATAAAATTGAAGCCGAGACTCGTCGCGACTTCTCCCTGCATGTCATTGACAACTGAGGCAAACACTCGAATACGGCTACAACAGGCATTCAAACCACTTCAACGGTTTCTTCGCATCACTAAAGAAGCCATCGCCATTTCGAAACGACGTGTCGACGTGATTAAGTTTTGCCATGTACCGCGGACTTTTGTATGACGTGCCGAAGGTCTCAGGCGGGAGGCCCATCGCGCAGCTTGAAAACTCTACAATCCCATCGTTTCTAGAGGAGTGGTGTGGAACAACTTTGCCAGCAAGCGCGTAGATTGCCGCCTTCACAGTCACCAAGCCAGCGAAGCTGTCGCTGCATATGACCGCGTCCACGTTGGCAACATAAGCAGCTTGTGCGGCGGTGTACGCATTGTCTAATTCCGGTGTCGAGAGGTTAGAATTCTTGTATGTGAGCGACACCTCGCCAGTGTTTACTGGGCAATTGCCCAACAAATCGATGATGCTAGCCACAAAAGCAGTCCGCTCGCCGTGGCATGACTGCTGGATGTAGTTTGAACCCATGCTGCCTTGCATGGGGGTGCTCGCAGCCACCCAAGATGTGGACGGGTCAAGTTTTACCGTTTTTTTCGCAATGGCACCAGCCAAGATCACGTTAGCCATCGAGTGGCCGACAATAATCGTGTCTTTGACAGTTCTTGTAGTTGCGTCACTCGTACGGCTTACTTTAAGCAGCAGATCAACCAAGCGCTTCTGAATGTCCGGCGAAGTCCACAGTTTATCCCTTGCGTTCACTGTAATATACTTTCTGCTCAAGCAGCACGGAGAGTGGTCACCAATGCTGTCTCCGAAGTAGCTATGAGGATCGTCATTCGTCAGACCACGTTCTTCAAACGAGATTAGACCAGCGACAAACACACACTCCCGTCGCGCGCCCTTACAGCCACAGCTGTCATCGGTGATTAGGTCCCAAGCCTTCTCGAATATGTTTGATTGAGCTCTCTCCGCGCGCAGAGCACGGTGGCCCCACTCAGAAAATGACCGAGACACCATTGACGGCAGTGACGTGGAGACACGATCTCCGAACGGAACGACTCCGCATGACGTCAATTCCTCTGTCGATACATGCGGAGCCACAATAGTCGGTGGAGACTGCTCGTACTTAACGTCGATGTTCAGGTCCTTTCCAAATATCTGAAAACCGTCGTCTGGATCCCATGGCCAACTCGATCGACCTGAGCACAGCACAAAGTCCTCGTCTGCAAACTGAAACACGAGTATTGACCCGCGCGGACACTTGTCGCTTGACGACATCAACGGGTTGGCGGTGGTCGCAGTGTAAATAGCATCTAAAACACTGTGAATGGGTGGGACGAAACCGGAGGGGAGACATCCTGATTGGACCTCTTGGCCATTGGGACGCCGCGTGTAGTACGTCACGCCGTTCACGAGAGAATACTCGTGACAGTCTCCGTCCTGCTCAAACGACGCGATTCCGTCGTATACCATTCGTCCGTCGTCGGCCGAGCGCTTCGGTGCAGGGACCGCGACGACGTCGAATGTCGAGACACCGTGGACGTACATGGCTTTGCGCTTGAGCTCGAAAGTAAATCGAAGCGCTGGTTGTTCCTGCAGGTTGAGGAGGATACGGTGCTTGGCAAGGTGTGCGTGAAAGTGATGCGAGTAGTTGGTCCCCTGCGTCACAGCGAGGCAGGCGCCGACAAGGGCGACCACTGCGAGTCTCCAGAACATCCATTGCCGTCCGGGCCGTGACGCCGTTTCCCTGCGCCTACCTGGAGGCTCATACTGGTGGAGTTCACCTGGCTCGAAGCCGAGCGAAAGTCGCTTTGGACTCCATGTCATGCTTCTCGAGAGAGCTATTTTGTATTTTCAGAAGTGGGCTTTTCATCTGTTGCCAGTTTGAACATACAGACGAAGGAAAAAGAGTCGGTCAAGGCGATTTGCACACGACAAACTCTCTTCCGCTCCGAGGCTACAACTGTTGGGTTAAGAACAGGACCGAGCGAGGTACGCAACACGCGTTGGACTGTGCACATAGCGTCGAGAGAGTGTATGCGTGTGTCATACTGTTATGATCTCATAACATCATTGGTGCCAGGTGTGCATGTAAAGACGATAGCCCTTCGAGAATATGGGGCCCAGATAATTTTTGCCCACGAGTGCTCCACCAACGTCATGTCGCTGTCGTTCGCTGGATGTCACGTGTTCGTGACAATCTACGTGAGCGTTTGTGAAACCGATCGGCAAACTCGTTTGTTTATGGCGAATAGAAAACATACAGTACGACTCGCCACAGAACATTACAATGTACACGAAAAGTATTGCTGATCTAGAACGCGCGGAGGATGCGTGCGATTGCTACGAAGGAGGTATGGTGTGTTTCGAGCTCGTGCACACTACTATTACAAGAGCTATCATTGGCTTGCTTTGTTGCAGTCCAGACCGAAACGTCCGGTACATCGGGAACTGGTTGGAATTGGAGATTCTTCTCGGTCCATTGGCGTTACACATACTGCACATGTCCGTGGTTGACACAAAGTAGTTCTGTGGACGGTCAGTTACCCTGTTTGACGCGGAAACTGACTGCAGTATACTTGCACTTCAAAAAGTGCATTTCTTGTATGTTCGACTACATCACTCGGAGTCTCGAGTGCTGGCCCTCACTGGCATTCGAACTCTGTGTACAGTTGTGAATTGGAATCGGGAACGACAATGAATGCCACGTTTATATGGCCACACAGTTGCGCGGTGCATCAAGATGTCTTACTTATCGTCATCGATAATTTGTGAGTGAGCACTTCGATAGACATGCTACAACGTCGATTCTTCCAGGGCTTATCCGTCTCAATCTTGTGTACACTCGCCGTATTGCACCACATGTATCGTACGGACGCGAGCTGTTCCAGTCTGGCGTCTTGTTCATGAGCAAATCCTGCTTCTAGCTGGTTCTACGCAAGCATACCGGTTTGGAAACACCAGCACTCAGAGGTTGGTAAACAGTCCTTCACGTCAGAATATCGACGGCTCACTTTCTATCCTTTCCTGTATCAATCGACCGAGCACTGACCGTAAAGGCCTCATCGCCCGCCTCTGGTGAAGCCTCAGAAGATGGGCTGTCAGAAGGTATGCGTGCACCAGCCTTCGTGCAACAGCTTTCCATCTATTCTTTTTGTACGCAAAGAAGTATGAGTTAGTGCACTCGTTGATGATAACGAAGAGTAGACCGTTAATAACGCTGCCTACTTCGAGATAAAAAATGTAGCCAGAAGAAGAGATTGAAGCGCTGAACCAAGGTACGAGAATTGGTTCACCAGAACTGCTTTACTCTTAGTAAACGATTGTGTACGAGTGTATGAGCCGACGTGACGGGGGTAAGCGAGCATGCTGTTTTCTTGCGCTTTACGGCACTATCAAGCAGGTGTTGGAACTGTTGGCTGACCTCTGTTGAATGATTGGCGGACTCATCGCTAATGGATGTCGCATGATTGTCGACTTCATGGACGACCTCTGTTGCCTTGAACTTGAAATTGTATCAAACGTCGGTTTCATAATACACAGACTTTATTAGCTCTGTACATGCATTTAAAACAAAGATGACAAAACATCTCTACGAGCGAATTCGTGCAACGAGAGTTCCCTTTAGCTTGACTTGAGTTTTAGCTCTTTACTCTGATACCATCTTGGGCCTCGAACCTATCCAGACCCCGGGTACAACACATGATGCATTTTGGTTGGGTGAAGGAAGGGGTTACACAGAGTAAAAGTCAATATATGGCGAGAACATTCAATCATAATTGATGATATTGAATATAATTGCGACCAATCAATTATCAATACATACTTAGATATCAAGCTGATTGATATATTGCAATATAGTTCATGATTCGAACGAGTAAAAAAGTGTTCTTCCGTGAAGCTATTCAGAATTATAAGAGGACAGAATAGTGACGCTGTGCTGTCTGCGATACCATAAATTTTCCGACACTTTTTTCTCGACAACTATTCTGACAAATGGATAATGTCTTTTTAATACGGAGGGTTTACAATTAGGAGGGCTAAAAATTATACGCTAAATGCGTATTCACTGCATTTGGTTTTGGCCTGTGTTGGCACTCCCAACAGGCCATGCGCCGAAGACAAGTGAGGCTCGATCCTTGCTGAATGGTGCTACAGCAAAAGACGTGATACTGTACAAGACAGAGATCTTCCTGTAGTATCTATTGGCGGCTAAGAGAATGAGGTGCGACTGAAGGGTAAGTCAAACGGTCTTTTGCTTTATTTCTTACGTACAAGACTAATTATCAGGCATGTAAGTGTGGCGCAATTCATTCCATAGGCCCATTACAGCATGCGTAAAATCGTATCGATTGCTATTTGACACTCAGCGACAAATAGAACACATTGACCGTGCAGTAAGTTAATCAAGCGTTAGTCGAAGTGTGAAATCGTGCAGTCTGACGTTATTGTTTGTAACGGGGTCACACGTCGACTGGTAGTCGACATTAGGTGTGGTTCACACAAGGGATTGGATCCTCTTCAAAGTAATGTTAGAACACAGTATCAATTGTTGAAGACTGATGTCTGTCCACCATTAATACAAAATCTTTGAGAGGTTTATTTAAGACATTAGCGAGTAGGTTAATTACTTTGTTCTACGGTGTTCTTTCAGATAAACAGAAATAAAGTTCAGTTCCCATTTTGATCAACATAAGACACGTGCCTCTTTGAGGCGTCTTGCAATCGTAAGGAAGTAGCAACGCCTTGTTAAAGCAGCTACTCCTTGTGTACTCAGTGCGTTTGATTCTTTGAATTGTTTGGTCTCCCCGGAACAGGGACCGTAAGCTCTCTGAGATTGTTGACTCTTTGAGTCGGGTTCTTTGAACCAAACCTTAGCTCTCGAAGCTGTTGACTCTATGAGTCGGGCTCGTAGAACCAAAGTTGCTCATTGAGCGTTAAGTCTTCCTCTGACTTAAGAAGCTTTGTAGCTCCGCTACACTTGGTAGCACTCGTAGTCAATCTACACGTGAGTCGGTAACGACTGATCCTCTGTGAGGATGGAGCAATCCACACCCCTATTTGAGGCTCAAAATGTCGCGCTCGATAAGCTGACCGCGGCCGTAGGCCCAGAATATGTGGGATTTTCCTGCACACGGTCCCGATGTGCTCAATGAACGAGTCGAGACCTTCATGCAGCATGAAACGGCCCTGTCTGGACAGGTTTAAAACCAAATAGCGTTGGCCATGCCAGCACGCTACGTGGCAATGCCACCAGAAGAGGCTGAACCTCGTCCCCTTCGAGTGGACGCTAACCATTACTCCGGAAAGGAAGGGGAAAACCTCACCCTCTGGATCCGTAAGATTGAGATGGCCATGAGCCCTGGCCTTATCTCACTTAAGTACCAGCGGTTCTGATTGCCTATTTCCAATCTCGATGAAAGAGCTAGAAAAGGGCTCTGACGTGCGGCACGTCGGTCGACTTGGCGTTTCCCACTTGGTATTCGCTCAAGTTAGACCTTCTGCAAGTTTTCTCGCCGCCTAACTAGGATTATCGCGTGCGATCACGCTTCTTGTCTACCCGTCAGGGTAAGAATGAGTTAACGGACTATGTCCAAGAGTTGAGAACTCTGATGGCTGCTATGCAGTCTGACCCTCTCCCTGAGACAGTCTATGTGACTGTCTTAATGGAAGGTCTTCGTAATGGCGTTTCCAGGACCGAGGTGTTTCGGGTCTTCCCTCTACTTTTTATGAAGCTATTAGTCGCTCAAAATGATGAGCACAACTTTAAGTCGGCCAGACTTGGTTGGAATGGGTACAACCCAAGCTTTGCGAGGGCGACCTCTGTGAACACCTCGGCTTATTGTAAGCCAGAACCGATGGATCTAAGCCATGCTGAAGATGGAGGTGAAGCGGAGCTTCATGTTGAAGAGCAACGACAGGAAGTGAAATGCTGTTATATGTGTGGAAGCACTAAACACTTGCGTCTTACTTGTCCTTTGCGTTAGCAACTACCGACTCCTGTGCACGAAACCCCAGCCACAACCATAAACCTGGAATGGCACGGAGAAACGTCGACACCCAGTAGATGCGGGACGCATTACTGGGGTAGAACTGAGTTCTGTTGCTACTCTACATGGTAGTGTGGTAAAGCGGTCTCAAAGAAATCTCTTTGGGACGTGGAGTGGCGATCGAGGATGGGCGATCGCACGGGTCCCACGTTTCAGTTGAACCAAGATCACTGTGATTGGATGATACAAGCTGGGACGGGTGGCTGACGATAACGTACCCCAAACCCAATTGGATAGGATCGTCCAATCTGGGATGAGGTTATGGGGTGGTCAGACCCGTTTTGATTACGCAATCCGTCGTGAGACAGGGCAAGAAAAGACTCTCGATTTCACTGGAAGATCGCGATCCTAACCTAGGATCGCAAATCTGATCTCCGTCTGCGATCCATTAGTAGGATCGCGATCCGCTAGTAGGATCGCGATCCACGGCTAGGATCGCGAACCGTTAGTGGGATCACGATCCACGGCTAGGATCGCGAACCGCCAGTAAGATCGCGATCCGCTAGTAGGATCGTGGGGACATCTTGGGTGGGCCACAAGAAAGACACAACGGTTGATATACTGGGTGTGGACCACACAAATGTGAGGGGGCGATCTTCCTGGAAAGGCGACGCGTGGCATCTGGTTAGGACATACGGATAGGCATAGGGGTAGGGTTTTAGGATTGATTGGATAACATTAAACAGAGTTCAAATTAATTCACAAGGCACACGTTATCTCTTCCGGGTTGGATTTTTTGGCCCCCCGTTGAACAAAGATTAACGGTACACGTCTACG